GTGCTCAGGAGATCTGGTTGTTTAAAAGTGTGTAGCACCTCCCCTGCGCTCTCTTTCTCCTGCTCTGTCCGTGTGAGACATGCCTGCTTTTCCTTTGCCTTCCACTATGATTGAAAGTTTTCTGAGTTTTCCCAGAAGCTGTCATGCTTCCTGTACAACTTGTGGAACCGTGAGCCAATTAAATCTCTTCTTTATAAATCACCCAGACTCAGGTATTCTTTTATAGCAGTGCAAGAATGGACCAATAAAATTGCTTTGGCTATTCAGACTCTTCTTTGGTTCTATGTGAATTTTAGGGTTTTTTTTCTAATTCTGTGAAAACTGATTCTGGTATTTTGATAGGAATTGCTTGAATATGTAGATTGCTTTTGGCAGTATAGTAATTTTCACAATGTGAATTCTTCCATCCATAAGCGTGGAATGAATTTCCACTTGTTAGTGCTATCTAGGATTTCTTTACACAGTGTTCTGTAGTTCTCCTTGTAAAGATCTTTCACCTCCTTGGGTAGGTATATTCTTAATTATTTTATTTTATTTTTGCAGCTGTTGTAAAAGGAATTGAGATCTCAATTTGATTCTCAGCTTGGTCATTGTTGGTGTACAGCCGTGCTACTAATTTGTGTACATTGATTTTGTAACCTGAGACTTCACATAATTCACTGGTCAAATGTAGGAGTCTTCTGGAGGAGGCTTTTAGGGTTTTTTAGGTATATGATTATAATATTGGCAAACAGAGTTAGCTTGACCTACTATTTTCCAATTTGGATTTCCTTTATTTATGTCTTTTGCCTGATTGCTCTTGCTAGGATTTCCAGCACTATGTTGAATAGAAGTAGTGAAAGTATCCATCTTTGTCTTTTTCCAGTTTTCGGGGAATGCTTTCAGCATTTTACCCATTCAGTATGATGCTCGCTGTGGGTTTGTCATATATAGTTTTTATTATTTTGAGGTATGTTCCTTCTGTGCCTAGTTTGTTGAATTTTTTTGTTATAAAGAGATGCTGGATTTTATTGAATGCTTTTTTCAGCATCATCTATTGAGATTATTATAATTGTTTTCCATTTTTATGTGGTGAATCACATTTATGGACATGCATATATTGATCCGTCCCTGCATCCCTGAGGTGAAACCTTCTGATCATGGGTGAATTATCTTTTTGATGTGTTACTGGATTCTATTTGCTAGTATTTTGTTGAGGATTTTTGCATCCGTGCTCTACATACTTTGCAATAGTTTCAGTAGGATTGGTATCAATTCTTGTTTGAATGTCTGATAGAATTTGGTTGTGAATTCCTGTGGCCTTGGGCTTTTCTTTGGCAGGTTTTTAAAATTACTGAGTCAATCTCACTGATGGTTATTGGTCTAGTCAGGATTTCTATTTCATCTCGATTCAAGCTAGTAGGGTTGTGTGTTTCCAGGAATTTATCCATTTCTTCCAGATTTTTCTAGTTTGTGTGCATAGAAGTGTTCGTAGTAGTCTTGGATGATCTTTTGTATTTCTGTGATGTCAGGTGTAATACTTTCATTTTTATTTCTAAATCTTCTTTTAATCTTGTCTCTTCTTGGCTAATGGAGCTAATGGTCTATTAATTTTGTTCATCTTTTCAAAGAACCAAGTTTTCATTTCATTGATCATTTTAATATTTTTGTTTCAATGTCATTTAGACCTGCTCCGATCTTTGTTATTTCTTTCCTTCTGCTAGCTTTGGGTTTGGTTTGTTCTTATTTCTCTAGTTCCTTGAGGTTGAGATTAAATTGTCAATTTGTGGTCTTTCAGACTTTTTGATGTAGGTATTTGGTGCTATAAACTTTCCTCTCAGCGCTGCATTTGCTGTATCCCAGAGGTTTTGATAATTTGTATTATTATTACCATTCATTTTGAAGAATTTTTAAATTTTCATCTTGAGTTTATTGCTAACCCCAAAATCATTCAGGATCAGATTAATTTTATTGTATTTCTATAGTTTTGAGGGTTCCTTTTGGAGTTGATTTTTAGTTTTACTCCATCGTATCTGAAAAGATACTTGATATAATTTTGATTTTTTTTTTTTTTTTTTTTTTGAGACGGAGTCTCGCTCTGCCGCCCAGGCTGGAGTGCAGTGGCCGGATCTCAGCTCACTGCAAGCTCCGCCTCCCGGGTTCACGCCATTCTCCTGCCTCAGCCTCCCGAGTAGTTGGGACTACAGGCGCCCGCCACCGCGCCGGGCTAGTTTTTTGTATTTTTTAGTAGAGACGGGGTTTCACCGTGTTAGCCAGGATGTTCTCGATCTCCTGACCTCGTGATCTGCCCGTCTTGGCCTCCCAAAGTGCTGGGATTACAGGCTTGAGCCACCGCGCCCAGCCAATTTTGATTTTTAAAAAATTTATTGAGACTTATTTTGTGGCCCATCATATTATCTGTCTTGGAGAATGTTCTATGTGCTGATGAGAAGAATGTAGTTCTTGGGTAGAATGGTTTTTAAATATGTGTTAGGTCCATTTGTTCTAGAGTACAGTTTAAGTCCTGTGTTTCTCTGTTACCTTTCTGCCTTGAAATCTGTCTAGTGCTGTCAGTGGAGTGTTGAAGTCATCCATTATTATTGTGTTGCTGTCTATCTCTTTTCATAGGACAAGTAGTCATTGTTTTATGAATGTGGGAGCACCGAAGTTAGGTGCATATATATTTAGGATTGTAATATCTTCTTGTTGGATTGATCCTTTTATCATTATATAATGACATCTGTATTAATTTGTGCTCACAGTGCTAATAAAGACATACCTGAGACTGGGTAATTTGTAAAGGAAAAAGGTTTAATGGATTCACAGTTCCACATGGCTGGAGAGGCCTCACATCATGGCAGAAGATGAAGGAAGAACAAAGGGACATCTTTCATGTCAGCAGGCAAAAGAGCTTGGGCCAGGGAACTCCCATTTATGAAACCATCAGATCTCATGAGACTTATTCACTACAATGAGAACAGTATGGGGGAAACTGCACCCATGATTCTATTATTTCCACCTAACCCCACCTTTGACAGATGGGGGTTATTACAATATTTGGGTGGGGACACAGTCAAAGCATATCAACATCCTTTTGTCTTTTAAAACTGTTTTTGCTTAAAAGTCTATTTTACCTAAGAATAGCACCTCCTGCTTGCCTTTAGTTTCTATTTGTCTGGAATGTCTTTTCCATCCCTTTGCCTTGAGTCTATAAGAATCTTTACATGTTAGGTGAGTCTCTAGAAGACAACAGATGTTTGATTTGTGAATTTTTTTATCCATCCTGCCAATGTGTGTCTTCTAAGTGGTATATTTAGACCATTTACATTTGACATTAATATTGAGGTGTGAGACACTGCTCCAGTCATGCTGATTGTCACAAAGATGCTTCGTATTCTTCATTGTGTTATTGTTTTATAGGTCCTATGCATTGTATGCTTTCAAGAGGTCCTATTCTGGTGTGTATTGACATTTTGTTTTCAGAGGTACAACTCCTTTTAGCATTTCTTGTAGGGCTGATCTAGTAGTGACAAATTCGCTTAGTATTTGCTTGTTTGAAAAAGACTTTACTTCTCCTTCATTTATAAAACTTAGTTTTGCTGGCTACAAAATTCTTGGCAGAGTTATTCTTTATAAAGAGACTAAAGATGAATGTCACCCCTTCTTGTTTGCAAGGTTGCTGCTGAGAAAATTAAACTTTTTAGTCATTAAGTATTGATTTTAATAATTCTGTAATTTTGATTATTTTAGTGCACCCTTTTCTCACTCAACGTTATTTCAGTTTGAGCAATAAGTTGTATTGTCATTCAATAGTATGATCACAAAAAGCACACCAATAACAGAAAGTTTAAAAGACAAAACTCACATATTTTAGAATATTGAAAAAAAATGAGAGTCCCCTTTTTTACAAAATTGTATATATACATGTATACACAAGGAGAGGATACATAAATAGATGGATAGATAAATAAACATATATGTCTTGATAGATGATAGACTGATAGATTTAGATGATGAATAGATAGTCTGATAGGTCCATTAGATAGATAGATAGATAGATAGATAGATAGATAGATAGATAGATAGATAAACAACAATAGATATATGAGATGAGGCATACTTTATTTTCCCATGGAAATATAAACTAACCTATTTACATAGAGGCTCTATCCAGTAAGCTTATTCGTTTGCTTTTTTACTTATTTTAACTCGGACTATTCTATTGCAGATTCAACACCCTCTTTACTCTTGTATTTGGTGGCCAGTAAATATGCTTAGATGAAAGAAGAAATTTCTCTGAAGTTTCTATGTGTGAGAAGGCACTTCAGTTTGTTAGAAATAAAGCTCATGTAAAATTATCAATAAAGTGTTCAATGAGGATGTAATAAGTGATGATTTATAGGAGATAATCATATGGGTACACAGGGAAGAACAGAATATAAAATATCAGAAATAATTCAATTGTTCCAGAAATAATTCAATTGTTCCATCAAATGACTTTGTGTGTCATTTGATGTAATGCAGTAATTATTGATTGTGCTAAGATAATAATCTATAAATCATCAATTATTATTAATAGACAATTCACAGTATTTACCTGAATTTCAGTATAGAACTATGTGTTCTCAAATATTTCCTATATCTCTATGAATGGACAATTTTCAGTATGCCACAGTTAGTGTTGCTTAGTCCTTCATAAGACAGTCAGTGAAAAATGTTCAAAGTGTAGATTTGTCAGCAGATGAAGACAGCAGAAGGTGTATCTTTATGTTTATGTTTTTTTCTCCTCATTCAGCATTAACAGAGACTAGACCCTTGCATTACTCTAGCAGGTTCATTGTAAATATTTTAAGCTTGAAATATGTTTTGAAGTAGAATTTTCTACATTGGAATTAATTTTTATATTTAAGTCCTCATGAAAATTTTATATGCAATTTTTTGCTGTCTTTACATGCCATTTTTTTCTGTTAAATTCAATACATGTCAACATTTTATAAATCCATGTTGTTGTTTCTTTCCAGAAAAAAAATCTTTCAAAACTATTACCCCAATATCTGGAAATATACATTATAGTGGAAAAAGCTTTGGTAAGTATGCTTTTAAGAGGTCTTTCAAAAAGGAACTAAGTATGCTTTCAAGAAAGAACTTTCCTTCTTGCCTTCCTGTCTTCTCTCTTTTCTCTCTTCCTCCTCCTTTCCCTTCCTCCACTGTCTCCCTATTTTCTTCTTCTCCTCTTTTCCTCGCCTTCCCTCTGTCTTCCCTTTTCTTCCTCTACCCCTCCTTCATTCACTCTCTCCCTTTGTTCCCCTCCCTCCCTTCTTCTTCTTGTTATCAAGATTATCCTAGCCTCATCAAATAAGTTAATGAATTTTCTTCTTCTTATAGTCTCTTTGAGAATTTAGATGTTATGAGTATGACTCCTTCCACATATAGTTGAAAGAATTTACTCTGAAACCCTGTAGACCTTAAGTTTTCTTTGGGTAAATATTTTAAAGTACACATTAAATTTCTTTACATATGATATACATAGGGAAGTTTAGATGTTCTTTAAACTTGTTTTACTTTCTACAAGTTAGATTGCTATGGTTTGAATGTGTTCCCTTCATAATTCATGTATTAAAAAGTAATGGCCAATGTTATGACTTTAAGGAATGAGGCAATTCTGCCACGAAAGATTCTTCCCTCATGTATGGGATTAAGTCTCCTATAAAACAGACTTCATGCGGCATTCTGTAGCTTGCCTTTCTGCTTTCCTCCCTATGAGGACATAGCAAAAAGGTCCTCACCAGACCAGTTTGTGGTGCCTTGATCGCGGACTTCTCAGCTTCTAGGACTATGAACAATAAATTTGTGTTCTTTACAAACTACCCAATCTGTCATATTCTGTCATAGCAGCACAAATGGACCAACACAGAAGTTGGTATCAGGAGTGGGTGTTGCCATAGCAAGTGTCTAAAAATGTGGAAGTAATTTTGGTACCTGGCAATGGGTTGAAGCAGGAGCTGTTTTGAAGTAAATAATGGAAAAAGCTTGTATTACTGCGAATGGAGTATGAAGGGTGATTCTGATGAGTGCTCAGAGGAAGAGAAGGGAAATAGGGAAGTTGTGAATCTTTTTAGAGATCAGTGGTTATGAACAGTTTTTAGAAATTACTTAAGTGGTCATGAACAGAATGCTGGTAGAAATATGGACAGTAAAGGCTATTCTTACGAGAGCTCAGATGGAAGTGAAGTCCAAGGTACCGGAAACTGGGAGAAAGACCACTCTTGTTATAAAGTGGCCAATCACTTGGCTGAGTTAAGCCCATGCCGTTGAACTTTATGGAAGACAGAACTTAAGAATGATGAACTCAGGTATTTGGCAAAAGAAATCTAAGCAGCAAGGTGTTCAGGATGCTGCATGGCTTTTTCTACTTATTTATAGTAAAATTTGAGACAAGATAAATGGTTTAAATATAGATTTTATAATTAAAAGGGAAGAAGAATGTAAAAATTTGAAAAACTCGCAGCCTGGCCCTGTAAAAACAAACAAACAACAACAAAAAAAACAAACAACAAAAAAAACGGTGGAGGCAGGAGTGGGGGTGGGGTAAGTATGTATGGTAGAATAGCAAGAGTGTGTCAAGTGACCTTTAAAGAAAATTGGTGTGGATAGAGGAAGTCAGCTGCTCTTTATCAGCACAAGAGGAGAATAACCCCAAAGACATTTTTGAGATCTTCAAGGCTGCCTTCCTATTACAAGCCCAGAGTGCTAGGGATTTGTAAGCAAGACAAGTTAAAGAGAGAAGCTCTTTAACAAGTTAAAGAATGCTTATAGGACCTTGAGACTTACACACCAGGGCCACCTCAGGTCTAAGATCCTTGCATCATAGCCAGGCACTTCTCTGCTGCCCTGGCTGTAGCTCAGCTGGGCCCAGGTGCATCTCAGACTGTGACTTCAAAGGGTGCAGACTGTGAACCTTGGCTGTGTCCACCTGGCACTCTCCAGGCTCACAGAGTGCAAGAGCTGTGGTGGCATGGCTACCTCCACCTCTATTTCAAAGGATGCCTCAGAGAGATCCCACTAAGGCAATGTCTAGCAGAGACATAGGTGCTGGACCACCCACAACACCGCAGAACTATAGATCCACCAGGAAGGAACGACAGCCTGGGAAAGCGGCATGCATGCATTTTCAATGTGTGAGAGCTGAAGCATGGGCTGCACACAGCAAAGCCTTTGGGGCTCAAATCCCACCCCGGTGTGTCTCATGGGTGGGTCATGGAGTCAAAGAAGATCATTTGCAGGCCCTAAAATTTAATATTGTTTGCTCTGTTGGGTTTTGCATTGGTTTGGGACCTGTTGTTCCCTTCTTCTTGACTCTTTTTTTTCTTCCTGAAATGGGAATGTCTGTCCTATGCCTGTCCCACAATTGTATCTTGGAAGCATATAACTTGTTCGATTTCATAGACTCACAGCTGGAAATTAATTTGCCTCAGGATAAATCTTGCCTTGAGTCTTACTCATATAATGTTTAGGTGAGATTTTGAAATTAGACTTAAAAGCTGATGATAGAACAAGTTAGGATTTTTTAGGACTATTTGGATGGCATGAAGGTATTTTGTACATGAGAACGACATGAATTTTGGGAAACTAGGGATGGAATGTTAGGGTTTGAATGTGTTCCTTCCAAAATTCAGGTATTAAAACTTAATGGCTAAGGTGATGGTATTAAGGAATGGGACCATTTAGAGGTGATTAGTGCATGAGGAACTTCTTCCCTTATGGATGAGATTAAGGCCCTTATAAAGTACTGTGTAGCTTGCTCTTCTGCCTTCTGCCATGTGAAGATGTAGCAAGAAGGCCCTCACCAGGCCAGATGCTAGCAACTTGTTCTTGGACTTCTCCACTCCCAGAAATGTGAGGAAATAGATTTCTCTTTTTTATAATACCCAGTGTGTGTTATTCTTTTTAGCAGGCAGATGGACTAAGGCATAGGTTTTCAAGTAATTTTTTAAATGATCTAAATTATCAAATTTCTTAGAATGAATTTGTAACACATTCTTTTTATCTTTTAGAAATTGGTATATTTGTAGTATCAGCATTTCTAATGTTCACCAGTGATATTGGTGGGATATCCCTCTTTGCTTTTTAGCTGCATTTTATTATTTTAAACTTATTATTTTGAAAGAACTTTAGACTTACATGAAAGTTAAGAAACAGTAAAGAGATTCTTTTCACAACTTCTCCTAAGTTAACCTCTTATATAAATATAATATCGTAATCAAAACTTAAAAGTTAATGTTTCTACATTATTATCAACCATTATAAAAATTTTGCCATTTTCCCCACAAATGTCTTTTTCCTAATTCAGTCCTCAATTATAAGATCCTACATTCCATTGAGTTGACATGTCTCTTTTTTCTACTCCAATCCGTGGCATTACTATGATCTTTGTCTTCCATGTACCTTGGCACGATTGGAGAATACATGCCAGTTATTTTGTAGAAATGTTTCTCAGTTTGGACTTGCCTGAATTTTCTTGTGGCTACATTGATATCCATTTTATGTATGACGAGAATATCCAAAAAAGACCTTTTCTTGTTAAGCTGTTGTTAAAGTAGTGTTGGTTTCATAAAACAAATTACAATGTCTGCCCTTTTCCTACATTCTGAATGAATGATTTTTGTACAAATGCCTTTACTTATTCTTTACTTATCACTTAAATATCTGTCACCATTAACTTTTTTTAGAGAGAGAGAGAGAGAGAGACAGGGCCTCACTCTGCCATGCAGCGTGGAGTGCAGTGACAAAATCATAGCTCACCACAATCTCGAACTCCTGGCCTCAACCAATCCTCCTGCCTCATCCTTCCACGTAGCTGGGACTACAGGCATGCACCACAATGCCTGGATAATTTTTTAAAAATTTTTATAGAGACGAAGTCTCACCATGTTGTCCATGCCTCAGTCTCCCAAAGAGCTGGGGTTATAGACATGAGCCACTGCACCTGCCCAACAATTAACCCTTACAGTCCTCTCAACCTGATATTTCTTTATGGGAAGGTTTAAAGTTACAGAATCCACTTTAATAGTTATATTATTATGTATTGTTTGAACTTTACCTTTGGCCATTTTGGCAAATGCCATTTTAAGTAATATTTTCAAATTTATGAAAATGTAGTAAGTTTTTGACATCAGTATTTTCATACTTTATTATCATCCTTTGATATTGTAATCTTCTTTCATTCCTGATATTGGCAATTTATATCTTCTCTCTAACCTTTTATTCTTTTTAAAAGTATATATGTTTAAGATGTATACATCATGTTTTTGTATACATAGTGTTACATTTTTGTGGTAAAAGTACCTAAAATCTACTCTCTTAGCAAATTTTCAGTATATAAAGCAATATTGTTAACTGTAGTTCTCACATTGTACATTAAGTCTCTAGATTTATTTATTCTACATAACCCACACTTTGTATCCTATGAATGCCATTTCCACATTTCTTCCCACACTCTGCCCTCTGCCCGTTGATAACCACCTTTTCACTTTGTTTCTATGTATTTGAATATATTTGTTTTGTTTTGTTTAGATGCCACATGTAAGTGAGATCATGTTGATTTTCTTTTCTGTATATGGCTTATTTCACTTAGCATAATGTCCTCCAGATTCATCCATGTTTTCACAAATGACAGGACCATTTTCAAAGCTTAATAATATTTCTGGGTGTGTGTGTATTATATATATATATGTATATACATAATATATAATCCATAGAAACTTAAGTCCCTTATATAAAGTAGCGTAGAATTTGCTCAAATCTACACACATTCTCCCATGTACTTTAAAACAGCTCTAGATTACTTATAATACCTAATACAATGCCTAAATATTTCATTCACATGACTCAAAATAATACTTTTATGAAAAATAAAATTTCTTTTTCAGTATGATTATATGGGATCTGAAATGATGGCTGTAACACAAAAAATTGTCCAGGTCATTGGGCTTGTCAACACTGTAAGTTTTTACTTTTTCACATTTCCATTTTCATGAAAGTTTCTTTAATATAATTTGGGTTCTATCTTGGCCAATGAATAACTTAAATACTTTTTGTTAGTTTAATACTCAAAATACTGGAACATTTTCTTTATTTTTTAATGTATCTTCTAAATGTAATAACTTATTACTTTAAAAATGTATAATAAATTTATTTTTAGATGTTTACCCAGTTCAAATTGACTGTTATACTGTCTTCCTTGGAACTGTGGTCAAATGAAAACCAGATTTCCACCAGTGGGGATGCTGATGATATATTACAAAGATTTTTGGCATGGAAACGGGACTATCTCATCCTACGGCCTCATGACATAGCATACTTACTTGTGTAAGCACAATGTTCTACATTAATAAAGATATCTGCATAAATAATTATTTTAAATTGGTAATTTAGTGAATTTGTTGTGTTCGTCAACTTTTCGTAAGCCCCTTTGAAAGTGTTTAAAAATTAGTAGCCTTTGCCATGGAGGTGTACTTAAAGATATAATAAAAGTAACAATAATCAATTTTGTATTAGAATAGTTTGGAGTATAAGTATTATTTCAAAAACTTGCATTCCATGAACTTACGATATTGACTTTACTACAGAAAACATATAATCCTTAGTTTATGAATGATGTAAAAATGGAGACTATTCAGTTAAAATTATCCATGATAAATTAATACATTTCATGTCTACTTTTTACTAGGAGGGATTTCGGTTTTTTCTTTTAACTATTTAATATGTTAAAATGCTTATCTTTAGGAGTGGTAAGATTGCCTCTTCCACAAATTTAAAATTATTTTCTCTTTAACTTTTGGTAACCAAATGAAGTTAAATTTGAGCTAATAAAATTATATCCATTTTAGGAGATGCAAAAGGAAATTACATTGGTGTTAAAGTGAATTGATTAAAGTCAATGATTTTAGTATTTTGTATAGTTTACTAGATATTACCTAGTTTGAAGCTTTATATATTTGCAAAGTCATTTTTAAAATTTTACGTAAAGAAGGTTTAATTTAATAAATAAGTTTACAAATTGTTTTGCCTAACTATGTTAATAAAAAAATTATAATAATGTAGTTACAGGAAACATCCTAAATATGTGGGAGCAACATTTCCAGGCACC